TCAATAGAGTAATCCAAAGCCACTAACCCTTAACATATACGTCAAAGATAGTATACGATTTTCCAAACTTAACATGCTTTCAAATAAACTCATACAATTACACATGCGCATTCACTAACGAGCGTTGGTGTCATGTTTTTCGGGTTTCTCATACACGACTCGTCGTTTTGTGTCTCATCTTTTATCATCAATTCCGAAAACACGCACGCACACAATCATGGGTTACAAGTACCTTGTGTCGCACAACAATGAGCTACCAAGTCCGGCTCATTGCCACAAGGTTACCAACGCATGGCCACAATGGCTACCATGTCCAGCACATTGTGTCACACACACACAACCATGAGTATCCAAGACCGGCACCTTGTGTCGCACAACAATAAGCTACCAAGTCCGGCTTATTGCCACAAAGACTACCAAATCTGACTCATGGCTATAATGGCTACCAAATCCGGCCATTATGCATTTCCAAAACATTTTTTTATCCATGTCAACCACATCTTAGGTGTCATATCTCTACTTTTTCAATTCCATGTGTCTCGTAACATGCATCGACTCCGCGGTGGGGCTATTCACATAACTCATGCGATATCGAATAGCAAGATCATCCAACTCTATACTATCATGCTTGTTAAAAGGTCAAAATACAAATACTTCGTTTCAAAACAACACTTTATCTTTAAAATGCATTTCCTTCGAGAGGTTCAATAACAACACATGTTTATTGACAAGTTCATACTATCACGTAGCAATTAGGCGAGCAAGCGATCAAGTAACCACAAGATCAAAGTAAACTACGTACTTTTAACAAGAAAGTTCTACAAGCTAAATCATACTACTAACTTTATTTAAAGAAAATCGTTCGAGAATAATATCATGCCAACAACCATTCAAGCACTACATATACTTAGGAACGGGGTAAGGACTAATCTACCTTGATCCGAAACTAGTCGGGGCCGAATAAGCTAGTTGAAAAATTCTACGGGCGGTGAAACTCTCAAATCTGGAGGCGGTGAAACTCTCAAATCTGGACCGAACTTTGGATGGCAGTAACTTAGTCACAACTGGGCCGAATAGGATCGTTCTTGAGTCTAAAACGAAGATCTCGAAATTTTCTACAACTTTCGTGAAGGACGTTTTTCCTAGAAACGACTTTCGCCCGGAGAAAAATGGGGATAAGAAAGTGGACAGTGAGCTGTCTGGAATGGAATTTCCAGATTTTTCACTGAACTTTGGAGGTCAATATCTTGGTCATCTCTTGACCGTTTGGGGTGGTTCTTGGGTCTAAACTGAGCTCTCGAAGTGTTCTACGACTTTCGTGGAGGTCGTTGTTCCTAGAAATGACTTTCGCCCGGAGAAAAATGGGGATAAGAAAGTGGACAGTAGGCTGTCCAGAAACTGTTTTTTTTTTAGAGAGAAGTGAGAGCTATGCTTGGAGGTGTGAGTTGAAAGCACCAAATGGCTTGGTATTTATAGGCAAGCCTCTCCTCTCTCCTCTCATGGCCGAACTCTCTCTCTCTCCTATCTCTCATTTTTTTATTCCAAGCCATCTTGCTTCCTTGCAAGAAACAACCTAAAAACTAGGCATGCAAGGCTAGGATGTGTCCTTTGGATTGGATTATGGAAGACTAGGCAAGCAATGGGATTTGATTCAAGTATAAAATTGGGGTTTGTACACAAGGACTAGATTTGATTGTCCTTGGTCATGCTTCCACTTGCTAGCATATCTAACTAGGACAAAGATGATCTAAGCTAGGTCAATTCAAGATGACACACATCACACTCTCCCTCTCTGTCTCCATCCGAACTCTCTCTCTCTCTCAATCTTTCTCCCGGCCAATCTCTCTCTCTCTCTCCCTCTCTCTCTCTCTCTCTCTCTCTCTCCCACTTGTACTCTCTTGGAAGAAGTATATATATACTAATATATATATATGTACTATGGGTCTTTAATAAAATCCAAGCTTTCAAGCAAAATAGATTTTATAAATATAATATTACAATACACACATGCTATATACAATATAATATATATATATACATATATATATATATATATACAAGCCATGTACTACTCAATCTAGGCTAGATATGAAAGAATCCCATAGCTAATAAATTAATGTAAGTCTTTCAAAGTACTAAGTAATTAAATAATAACCCTAATGTACTAATTATAATTAATTCAATTACCACACATGGAAAATCTAGTATTTTATTAACCCTAGTACTTGGTGGCAAGTAAAGCTTTTATCCAATGGATAATGGTTTCCCTAGCGGTTAATAACCAATGGTTAAAGATGGCTAGGATTCTAGTCTATCGTCTAATGGGTAATAAAACTCCTAATGGTTATTACCCAATGGGTAATGCTAGAAAATCTAATACTTGCAATTAAGCACTAAACTAATCTAATCGCGTACTTAGGAAGATTAACCAAGGTTTACCTATTGACCAATGGGTAAGACAAAAGGTTAAAATGGTCCATCTAGGGTTAGGGAGAAGTGATTAGGCTAAATGGGCATTAGGCTCGACTAATGACACTTAATCTAGGCCTTCATTGCTCGAGTGGTATTTTGGTGTTATCTAGTAGGAAATTGCCCAATAACGGAATATTAAAGCCCGACGGTGCCAAACGCCAAGGCAAAGCGTGAGTGTGGCCAAGGCAGCTGTGGCAAAGCGGTGGTCAAACGGTAGCCAGCGATCCGGTACAGGCCAGCATTAGCCAAAGCGACCGTGTAGCGGTAAGCGGCGGCACAAAGCACCACGGTGGCCAAGGTAGCGGCAGCGATGTGGCGGCCAGCGACCATGGCCAACGATGGCAAAAAGCGGCGGTAGCGATGGCGGTGGCCAAAGCATCTGGTAACCATAATGGCAGCGCCAAAGCGACGGTAATAGCGATGTGGCGGCGGCAAAGCGACCAAGTAGCCAAAGCGATGGCTAGCGACGGCCAGCAGCGATCCGATGTGGCAAAGCAGCCAAAGCGACTGGTGGCAAAGTGGTAGCCAGCGATCGATGCCAGCGATGGCAAAGCGGCTGCTGCAAGCAAGCGGCGACGCCAAGGTGGCGTGAGCATGGCCAAGCGAACCGATGGCACCAAGCGAGCAACCTGGTAGTGACCGACGCCTAGCGGCAGACCGACAACGAGCCGACGCTAAGCAAGGCAAAGCGCGATGACGGCAGCGACGCTAAAGCGGCGAGGCACAGAGACCCGATGCCTGGGCGATGAATTCCAATCTCCTAAGTCATAAACCTAATTATGACGGATTATTAATCGCAAAAAGGGATTTATAAAATAAATAAAGAATTTTTTCAAATATAATAACAAAATTTTATAAGTCGATAACGACCTATTTTTGGATGTTAAAAAGAAATCCAAGTATTAAAATAAAATTCAAATTTTTAGCGAAATTTTTATTGACCAAAAATCAGGGTCGTTACAGCATTGTTGGAGGCAAAGGGCAGCAGAGCAGATACAGTTTGGAGGCGATGGAGCAACGGTGTGCAGCGGAGGTTTGGCAGCGTGCAGTGGAGCTTTGGGTGTGGGCTGTGTGTTTAGGTGTTGGCAGCCCATTTGATTTTGGGCTTGGCCTTTTTGGTTGCATTTGGGAAGATTTCTATGGTCTGGGGTTTTTCTGGTAGTGGATTCAAACATTAGGTTTAGATTGGGCCTGGCCCACAGGGGTCCTGCTGGTGTCTTGTTATCAGGAATTTTACAAAATTGAGAGGTGAAAAAGTAGGTTTAGATCTCGCGAGACGAAGGTGCTCAATGCATTTCTACTCCTGTTGTAATGTAACAGGTTTTCATAATCTTAATGAAAGTGAAACTTTTTTTGCCATTCAAAAAAATAAAAAACTTGAGTATAAATTTCTCTACTGAGCACGTGGTTTGCTCAACCTTTCATTATTTCAGGTACAATATAGGGACACAGGCATGGAGTGTTTTGGCACATACGATATGGTTGATTCTCGACTGGAGGGTGTCTACTCTAGTGATTAACTTACGCAGAATAATTTTTTGGTTCAAAACTTGTTCAAATTTTTTTTTTTTTTTTGCATTTGTTAGTTTTACGCTAAACCTTTATGTGATATGGGTGAGTAAGGTCGAGAGGAATTGGAAAGTAAAAAATTATGACTTTTAAACAAGTATTTTGAAAATTATTCAAGAAAAAGTCCACAAAACTAACTTTTTGAGGTTTTCTTTGGATATTTCTGAAAATACTTGTGTATAAGTTAAAATTTTTTATGTTTTCAATTCCTTTCGTTCTTACTCACCCATATCACAAAAACTAACACATGCAAAAAAAAAATTGAATAAAAATAAAATCAAAAAATTATAGTACATAAGTTTTCACTAACGTGAACGAGGCTGCATGGACACCATCACACTAGGAGAAATATATACTATAAGACAAAGTGAAGCTGGTGGAGGTTGTACGAACTCTGAATTAATCCTTGGATAGTGATTCAGTGAAGTGATGGCAAAGAGCTGGAGAACAGGGATTGATTGACCAGTAATTTGACATAGTCTAAGAGACCATATATTTGATATACTAACCACATGCAGGCATATAGATCAATTCATGCATGTGCTTGATTTTTAGTTTGGGGCGGGTGACGTAAGTGCTTACATGAGCGTGGATTGATACTTCTACCTAATAGACATGAATATGTACTAAACGACAGGATACTGCATTTAGCTTGTCTTTTTCTCATTTTAATTCTGGGATATATATGTCTGAAGAGACGAAAAAGATTTAATTAGGACAGACCGGATAAGATTATTCATAATTTTGTGTTTGCCGTACTTATTTGCAGAGGAGAGGAAGACGATCATCCACTACAAGAAAAAGTATATTCGGTGAAGAAAAAATTGGGACAAAATTTAATTTCGACACTAAATAAGTATATTTGGCGACGAAACAATAAATTTATTGCCAAAAGCGTAAAAAATGTGACAAAATTATTTTTCGTCACAAAACATAATTTATTTGTTACGGAGGTAGGGGCGGATGTAGCCAAGTGGATCAAGGCATGCAGTGGATAATGAATCCACCACGCACGGGTTCAATCCCCATTGTTCGCCCATCAATAAGTGGACTGATAAGCAGGGAAAACCTGGCCAGGTCAACTCGGTAAGAGATACGGACCTGGGAAGTAGAAGTCAGCTTTGGCTAAACCTCCCTGGAAAGTATTACCTGTGGCGAAGTCAGGGTAGGCCAGCTCCATCTACTGGATGGAGCTGATATGGGGTCTAAGGACCAGCTCTGAAACAAAGCTAAGGCTGGATAAGTAATATTCACGGAATATACTTGTTCCAATCAATGATATCACTCTGAGAAACCCTAATCCTACAGGATAAAGGAAATATGTCGATGAGATAAGCATAAAATGCCAGGGATAAACACGATTAAAGACGGATAAGGATTCCAAGCCAGAAGCAGGATGAACGTGGAGTTCTAGCTAAGGCAGGACTCCACACACCTCGTTAAAGCAATCCAAATCCCCGGAATACAGTCCTACTAGGACTCAATCTCCTACCAAATGCCTATAAAGCAACGATAGAACTCCAATGAAAGGTATGCACAACTGACGATCGAGAAACTCAATTCTTCCACCATATAGCAAGTTCTGTACTGACTTAGGCATCGGAGGGTGGTTGGCACGCCACCACACCGGTGACTCGAGTTCTTGCTTTGTTTTACAGGACCAGGTCGGGGCTAGGGACAAAACTGATTCATCAATTGGCACTATCTGTGGGAAGCGACTTTTTCCCTAACGGTGAATAGTTTTGTATGGTAGATACGCGATCTAGCCAAACTACGATGGCTTTAGACCCCCCACAAACGGACGTCGACGACGCCACCAAGACCGTCGTTGCAGCAAAAGCCGCCGAAATAGCCAAGGCTACAAGAGCTACCAAAGCCACCACCGCCGCTGAAAAAAGCCGCCAAGGCGGCAGAAGCGGCCAAGGCCGCTAAAGCAATCAAGATGGGAGGCGATCAGATGACCCCAGAGGCATTTGCTCAGATGCAGGAGCAAATAAGAACATTAACCCAAGAGTTCCAGACTGTGATGCAAGAAAACGCAGATTTGCGAAGGCAAATCTCCAAACCAAGCATCCTAAATTTACAACACAGTCGACACGAAGAAGAGGATCATGGGGAAGAAGACGAATCCAGCGAGTAGGAAAGCAAAAATCGAAAGAGGAGTGGCAAGGCACCCCTAGAAAATCCACCCCATGAACAAGGGATGATACTCAAGATGCAAGACCAAATTGAAGGGTTCATGAAGCACCTCAAAACACAAACTCCCGCTACAGTGGAAGAGCTGGTACAAAACACGGATTCACCCTTCACGCCTGAAGTCATGGGGCTTCCACTTCCAAGGAAGTTTAAGATGCCCGAGTTAGAAACCTTCAATGCCTCCACGGACCCATTAGACCATTTGGAAACGTACAAATCTCTGATGCATCTGCAAGCTATACTAGACGAAGTGATGTGCCGTGCATTCCATGTTACCCTCAAGGGTAGTGCCCGAGCATGGTTCAATAAGCTCCCACCTAGAAGCATACATAGTTTTAAAGAGCTTAGCACAAGCTTTGTGAGCTACTTCATTTCTGGCCAGTACTACGGCAAACAAGCAACGCACCTCCTAACGGTGAAGCAGGGAAGATGGGAGTCATTGAGAGAATACACCACCATGTTCAATATAGAGGTGATTCAAATAGATGAAGCCGACGACAACGTGAGCATAACTGCGTATATAGCTGGACTATGTTCAGGACAGTTCTTCTACCTCTTATCAAAAGAACCACCTAAGACTCTGGTGGAACTAATGCTCAGGGCTCAGAAACATATGAATGCATAAGAAGCCGTATATGCTCGACGCGCACGCGATGGCTTTGATCCCCAAGCAGGGCCGTCACAGATCGGTGAATTTCCGCCACCTGACAAGAAAAGAAAAGAATCCACCCGCAAGACGGGAGGTGAACCAAAGAGCAAAAAGGTGGACTCAAGATCTTCTCCAAAACGAGGAGAAGGAGGACCACCCCAAGGCTAGTACAAGCAGTTCACTCCACTCATAGCTACAGTAGAGCAAATCCTTAGCAACTTACAAGACGATACGGACATCAAATGACCCAAAAAGTTATGGACTGATCCAAATAAAAGAGGTAAAGGTAAGTACTGCAGGTTCCACAAAAACCATGGTCATTACACGGATGATTGTATCGACCTAAAGCAGCAGATCGAGGATCTAATTCAAAGAGGAAGACTTCAACGTTCTGTGACCAAGAAGTACCAAAAACAATCCAGGAGAAAGGATACCAGCAAGGAGAGTAAAAATGACACTATACCCTGGTCAGGTCCTATTGGGGGAATCAAGGTCATCCATGGAGGATTTGCTGGAGGTGGAGAGTCTAGCAATGCTAGGAAAGCTCACCTCCGGAAGCTGAGAACAGAGGAACACCCGGAGGTCAACACAGTTGCCCGCCCGAGTAAATCCTAGAAGAAGGAAGAAATACCCATTATTTTCTCAGAAGAAGACATCAAGGGAGTTCAAGTCCCCCATGACGACCCCTTGGTCATAACCATCATTGTGGCAAACTATCGCACAAGAAGGGTATTGATAGATAGCGGAAGCTCAGCCGACATCCTCTACCTCCATGCGTCTGACCAACTCAGAGGTGGACAAGAACGGTTAAGGCCTATAACTTCACCGCTGGTTGGATTTGCAGGTACGCCCGTTTATCCAGCTGGCCAAATTACCCTACAAATCACTATGGGAGAAGAAGGAAGTCAAATCACACGGATGGTAGACTTCATAGTAGTCGACTGTCCTTTAGCATATAATGCCATACTGGGGAGAACAACCCTGAACAAGATTGGGGCAATAATCTCCACATATCATTTGATGATAAAATTCCCAATGCCAGTAGGGATCGCATGCGTCAAAGGAGATCAAAAGGCAGCCCGGGAATGTTATGTCACCTCACTCAGGGGAGCTAACATCACAATGAACATGGAATGCCTCGACACACGAGATGAAGAAAAGCTCCAGCAGGGGGAACCCGTGCAAGAACTCAAAGAAGAACTCCTGGAACCAGAGCAACCAGAAAAGACGGTGAGAATAGGAACATGATTGAGTCCGATAGCATGGGCAGAGCTGTTGCAATTCCTAAAGAAGAACAAAGATGTCTTTGCATGGTCCCATGAGGACATTCCAGGGATTGACCCAAGGGTCATATCTCACAAATTAAACGTGGATACCACGGTACACCCTGTTAAGCAGAAGAAAAGGACATTTGCTCCAAAACGCAACGAAGCTGCGGCCAAAGAGGTAGTGAAGCTCATACAAGCAAGATCCATTCGCAAAGTTCTCTACCCCGACTAGCTGGCCAATGTGGTCATGGTGAGAGAGCCAATGGCAAATGGAGGATGTGTGTCGACTTCACCGACCTTAACAAAGCTTGTCCAAAGGATAGCTTTCCTTTGCCAAGGATTGATTCCTTAGTAGATTCTACTGCAGGCCATGAACTCCTCAGCTTCATGGATGCATTTTTAGGGTATAACCAAATCGAAATGCATGAAGGAGATCAAGAGAAAACCTCGTTCATTACCGACAGGGGATTATATTGTTACAAAGTAATGCCTTTTGGTCTCAAGAACGCAGGGGCTACGTACTAAAGGCTGGTCAACAAGTTGTTCAAGCAACAGATTGGGCACAACGTAGAAGTATACGTGGACGATATGCTCGTTAAAAGTACCAAGGCATAAAACCATGTAGCAGATTTGGAGGAAACCTTTCAAGTCCTCAAGAAGTACCAAATGAAGCTCAACTCAACAAAATGTGCCTTTGGGATCTCCTTAAGTAAATTTCTGGGCTTCATGGTATCCCAAAGAGGTATTGAAGCAAACCCGGAAAAAATCCAAGCTATACTCACCATGCGTTCACCCCAAAATATCAAGGAAGTCCAGAAGCTAACAGGACGAGTCGCAGCATTAAGCAGGTTCATCTCACGAGCAACTGACAAATGTCAAACAATCTTCCCAAGGTTTTGAAAAAAGCCTTTGAATGGACTACCACAGAGGAGACCGCTTTTAACCAGCTTAAAGAGTATTTGACATCCCCCACCATTGCTAAGGAGGACTCAAGAAAGAGAAGTCTTATATTTATACCTTGTTGTCTCCCCCCACGCTGTTAGTGCGGTTCTGCTCAGGAAGGAGCAAAGAACACAGCTCCCGGTGTATTACACTAGCAGAGCATTGCGAGGAGCTGAGCTAAGATATCCCAGAGCCGAAAAGGTAGCCTTTGCCATGGTAATAGCAGCAAGACGGCTACGGCCATACTTTCAAGCTCATTCAATAAAGGTGTTAACAGATCAACCACTCCAAAGGATTCTGCACTTTCCAGAAACTTCAGGCCGCTTGATTCAATGGTCGATAGAACTTGGCGAGTTTGACATAGAGTACAAACTAAGAATTGCCTTTAAAGCACACGTGCTCGCAGATTTCCTTGCGGAATAAACTTATCCAGAACCAGAAGAGCTGCCAAAAGAGGAACCAAAGCCCTGGATCCTTCAAGTTGACGGATCAACAACTAGAGAAGTAAGCGGAGCTGGTTTGATCATAACATCCCCAAAAGAACAGCGCTTAAGCTATGCGCTTAGGTTTGAGTTAAGGGCAACTAACAATGAGGCAGAATATGAAGCCCTTGTCGTTGGATTGGAGCTAGCTAAGGCTGTCGGTGCTAACCACGGGTTAGCCAAAAGTGATTCACAGTTGGTTATAGAGCAAGTCCTAAGGGAATATACTGTGAGAGAAGAGGTAATGCAGAAGTACTTGGAGAAGGTAAAAGCCCAAATTTCAAAGCTACAAAGTTTTAGCACTGTCAGAATCCCAAGGGAGGAGAACATCGAAGCTGATTATTTAGCAAAATTAGCCACGGCTAAGGAGGATACTATTCCACGGAATACACCAGTACGATACCTAGATTTACCAAGTATCTTCGCCCCAACCATGCGAGTTCAAGCTATCGACTATAGCAGTTCATGGACAGGCCCCATAGTTGAGTACATAACCAATG